TGGCTCAGGGACACTCACTGCAGCCTCACCCAGCGCAGAGGATCTGCAGAGCCAGTGCAGAATGAGCTGCTGCTTCCCAGGGCTCAGGTTACCTGTGGAACAATGGAGCTGGAAACTGGGACAAAAGCAGCTGGAATTGCCTGTGGATGTGGGGAAAGCTCTGTGCTCTTGCTGAGGTGAAGGCAATATGTATTTGGGTTTATTTCTTGCTGCAGAATTTGTTTGGAAGAGAAAAGTGGCACATTTTCCCACCTGAGGGAAAAGGGAATTGGGTTTTGTCCCAATCCAGGTCTCTCCCAGCTGGTCTATGGATTTGAAGTGCTCACCCAAGGGGTGAGTTTGGTGTTTAGGGGGTGGATGTAATTGGAGAGGCATCAAATTGCTGCTTCTCTGCTGGGAATTAACTTGGATCTACTCCAGAATGTGCAAGGAATCAGGGACTGGATAACCTTCCCTGACTCCTGTAGCACATCCCAGGAAGAAGCACTAAAAAGTTAACTCTGGGTGTGCTCAGTGAGTCAGGAACGAACTCAGACCTGTTGTTAATGTGTTGTGGGATTGGTTTGCCCCTGAAATGGAATCCTGTGGCCTGCTGAGCAGCAGCTGAACCCTGGGAATTCCATTCGCATGGATTCCCAGCAGAGCTGACAGCACAAACTGCTGCTCGTGGCTTTGCTCATGTGACAGTGCTTTGTGCCTCATCAGGTCTGTGCTGGGGCACTGCCTGTCCCCAGGGCCACAGGGACATGCGCTGATACAAACAGTGACCAATAACCTCAGGACTGAGGGAAAGTCCTGTCAAATAGAGAAACTTTAACACTATTTTTGAGCTGATGATGATTTTCAGTGGCCAAGTGTGGAAATTATTATTGCTGCGGAGGTGTTTGGCTGACTCAGAGCAAATCAGCCTCAAAGTGGGCACAGAGAACCTGCCTGGGGGCTGAGGGGTGACTTGTGGGGGTGATCCCAGGGAGGGAGGAGGAAGGGGAGAAAAAACACAGGAGAACAGCGTGGAGAGGTGGAATGAAACATCTGGTAGAGGTGAGAGCAGAGCTGAGGGCAAAACGTCCACACAGGTGAATGTGTGGATGGAGGAGCTGTGGTCACAGGAGGATAGGAATGACTTGTTGGTGCAGCTGGAGTGAGAAAACTGGGAGAACTGGGATGATGGAGAAGTTTCCCCCTCTAGGCATGCCTGGATTCGGATAAAACACTGTTGTGTTGTGTGAGGGAGAGACCAGTTCTGGTGAAATGGTTTAAGTTCCTGTTTTAATCCCTTGCTTGTGCTTCCAGGTGTTTCCATATGGGTTATCCTGGGCTCAGATGGGAGGGAACTCAGCTGAGGTTTTGCAGTAGGAGTTCCCTGAGCTCAGCTCTGGCTCTGAGCCCCTTCCAGCCCTGCCCACATCTGAGCCACCTCACACCTTGTCCTTCTTCCCTGTCTTTCAGGTTGCAAAGGAATTTGGCTTCAGGAATAATGGCTTTTCCGTGTACACCAACAGGAACAGGACAGGAGAGATCACAGCAGCACAGAACAAATCCCTCAACCTGCTCAAGATCAAGTGAGTCCTCACTGGGAATCACCTCCAGCACCTCCATGTGCTGATTCCCACCCCAACCACTACCCGTGTCTGTTCCCCACCCTGCAGGCATGGAGATATGCTGTTCCTGTACCCCTCAAGCCCTGCTGGCTCCTCCTCAGAGACCATGGACACCTCTGTCTCCCAGAATTCCCGGCCTGGAGGGGCTCCCCAGGTGGTGGAAGATGAGATTGATCAGTACCTGATCAAACAGGATGGGAAGATCTATCGGAACAGAGACCAGCAGCTGTGAGTGGGAAGGGCTGTGCTCCTGCCCTTGGATCTGGGACTCAGCAGAGCTTGGAATACCAAGTCTGAGGGGTGGGCTGTGCTTCTGCTATGCATCCAGGGCTCACCACGGCTTGGAATGCCATGCCTGGGCCCAGCAGCCAGGAAATCTGCTGTGGGAACAGCCCTCCCAGCCCCTGCTCCATCCCATGTGTCTTGGGGATGTTCACAAGGGAAAACAGCCCCTGGCATTGTCCTGGAAGACTAAATGGAGCCCTGAGGGAGGAAACAGATCCCCAAATCCCAAGGTTTTTGCCAGGAAGGGCTTGCTCAGGGCATCTATTGTTCTGGTGGAGGAGTTCCCAGCCCTGAGTTGTGTATTCTGTGCCCCTGAAACATGTGGAATTCTCTAGATTAGAGTGAACGCTGCATTCTCCCCAGGATATCCTGGAATAGGAGGCTGTGGGACACAGTGCTGAGGGAGCAGTGTCTGCTGCCTGCACCAGCTCTGCCATCTGCTCCAAGTATGGAGCTTCCCACTGGGGTCCTGAGGGGATGTGTGAGGGGAGGCAGGTCCCTGTGTCACAGGAGGGGCACAGACAGGGAGACCTCAGAGCCCCTTCCGGTGCCCAAAGGGGCTCCAGGAGAGCTGCAGAGGGACTTTGGACAAGAGCCTGGAGGGACAGGACAAGGGGGAATGGCTTCACTCTGGAAAAGTGGAGATTTAGATGGAATATTAGAATTCCTCCCTGTGAGGGTGCTGAGGCACTGGCACAGCTTGACCAGAGAAGCTGTGACTACTCCATCCCTGGGAGTGTTCCAGGTCAGGTTGGATGGGGCTTGGAGCAACCTGGGCTAGTGGGAGGTGTCCTTGCCCATGGCAGGGGGTGGGACTGGATGGTCTTTAAGGTCCCTTCCAACAATTCCATGTCCCAGGCAGGAGCACCCTGTGCCTTCAGATGCAGCTACTGCTCGGGAAGGAAAACACAGAAGTGAAGGGAATGAACAAAGTATCCCATGACAGAGCTGTGGAATTGGGACTTGGGTCTCTGCGTGCTTAGCTTTTGGCTTACCTTCCTCCACGTGCCTTCCTGACCTCTCTGTGACACCAGAGAGTCCCTTTTCCTCACAGAAATGCACCAAAGTCCAACTCTGCAAAGCTCTTCCATGCGAGAGGCTTAGGGAAACAAAGCAGCTCCTATTTCTGTAGGAATAGCACAAAAATGAGTTAAAACCACCCAAAATCTACACTGGTGCTGCTAAAACAGTCTCTGACTGGGTAGTAGGTTTATTGCTCATCAGTTGTATCTCAGCTGGGTCCTGGCCCAGTATCTGCATTGGTTGTGGCCTTGGCCCTGCACTGGTTGTGCCCTTGGTGCTTCAACCCTTTTGTAAAGAGACTCCTGAAAGGATTTGAGGGAAAATTTTAGAGGCAAACAGGAATTCATGCTAAACCAGAAGAATTTACCCTTCCCCATGGTGTTGTCCTCCCTATGGTTTGTCCTCAGTGCTGCAGCAGCAAAGGAGTGTGGGGAAAATCCTCTCTGCCCTTCCAGGCTGACCATAAGTGATGGGATGGCACATTACTGCAGCAATAAAGGCAAAGCCACCACTCTGTGGTGAAAACATTGTCTTAAGCTTGCCCACAGGTTTCAGAGCAATCAATGAAGCTGTTCCTAGCAGGAGCCTAAGCCCAGAGCTAGAGATGGAGGAGGACAGGAAGTGTCTGGGCCTGTTCCTGGCTCTGGGAGTGTGGATCAATCTCAAATGAAGGATGCTGAGTGCATTAGCAGCATTTAGTGCTCCTTTCTGTACATTATCTGCCACAAAACAGCCTTAAAAGCAATGATGCAAGTGGATCCCATCCACAAACCAACCTCTGAGCTCCTCTCCAGAGCCCTGCCCTGGGAAACCAGCACTAACCTAGGGCTGGGGGATTTATTGTTGGCTTAGAGGGTTTTAAAGCAATCACCTCCAAAAAAGATGTTTTCCCCTCTGTACGTTTACCCAGCAGGTCTTTATCTGACAATAAACACTTACCTGCTTGTTCCAGACCATCCTCTGGTGCCTGAGAAAGGATGATTCCATGACCCCTCTGTAATATTCCCTGAGGGATGAAGAGTTGCTCATGGAGATCTTCCACATCAAAATTACCCCAGAGCAGCTCTATACACTCTGATTTTCCCATCACTAAATAAGATTTAAGCCTACTCCCATTTCCATATTAAATAACGTTTATTCCCACTTCAATTTCCATAGGAAATAACATTTATTCCTCCTTTAATTCCCTATCAGTCAAGGTTTAACCCCTCTCCTTTCTCTGTCCCTGCCCAGGTGTCGCCATGGCCCTTTGGGGAAATGTGTGCACTGTGTCCCACTGGAGGTAAGAGCCCCAGGAAGGTGCTGCCAACCCACACCAGTTCCTCCCAGTATGAACACTTTTCCCACCTGGAGGTGGCAGCTCCAGACTGGAATCCTGCCATGGATTGCCAAAGGGGTTGGCTCTGGGATCACTAAAGCCTTTGTGAGCTCAGGTTTGGCCTGGTTAAAGCTGGCTGTCTGCAGTAATGACTAACAGAAAACCCTTTGAAAAACTTCCATTTTTCCTCCCACTTCACTTTTTCCTGCATCTTCTTGATTCATCCCCTCTCTCATGGATCCCAGCACTTCCCAGTTTAACCACCTGGCACAGGTTGCCCAGCAAGCTGTGGCTGCCCCATCCCTGGCAGTATTCCAGGCCAGGTTGGATAGGGCTTGTAGCAACCTGGGCTATGAAAGGTGTCCCTACCTGGGAACAGGAGGTGGAACTGGATGATCTTTACAGTCCCAACCCAAGCCATTCCATAATTCCATGGTTATTGAGCCTGAAGCTGAATTGTTCCATGATTATTCAGCTCCAAGCAGCTCTAGTGACACCTCCAGCTGTGCTGGGCTGAGTAATTCATGGCATGAAGCTGCAGCCACCCCTCCAGGGGGGATCCTGGCTGTTCCAGGATGCCTCTTCCTGCTGCTGGAAGTGCTCTGGAAGCCCCTTGGCCATGTTGGAACAGCTAAACTCTTTGTTTGTTGTTAGATATTGAAAGGCAGAAGCATTTTGCCTTTGAGGCTGGTTGTGATTTGTGGAGCCAATCTGTTATCAAAGCAGGAGGTGCTCATAAAACTCAGCCTTGTAAAGCTCCTCTCTTTGGATCCCAGTAGTAGCTGCCTTGAAAAGGAGCCTGAATGTCCTTGATTGCTTCCACATTGGAGGGTTGACTCTGGGACATGCATTTGCTCAGCCATCAGGGTGTTATCTCACAGGTGTCTGACCTGCCTGGGCTCTGTGTGGTGTTTTTGGCAGCCCTTCGATGAGGATTATTTGAACCATCTGGAACCTCCTGTGAAGCATATGTCATTCCATGCCTACATCAGGAAGCTGACTGGAGGGGCAGACAAGTAAGGAAATCTCTGGCTTTAAGGGAATCTGGTTGTAGCTGCTTTTTTTTTTTAAACACAAAATGAAAGTCCAGACAGATCTCAGTGTTGGATACAAGAGCTGAGGGGCAAAGGGAGGGGAAAACAGCATGTTAAAAGGAAGGGGGAAAGCAGGGGAAAAAATGAAATCTGTCTGTTTGTTTTAGGGGGTTTATCCTTTCTATTTTTAGTTTTACTGTGGCAGTGTAATTGCTTCCAGGAAACACTCCTGGTGGGGGGAGAAGGCCAGATGGAAGGAGAGAGGTTCCCTGGTTACACCAAGCCTGAGTCTCAGACCTCATGGAGACAAGTTACACAGAGGTGTAACCTCCTCCCTCCTGCTCCTAAATACCTCTTGGAGGTTTTAAATCTCTTTGGGAGATGCAGCTCAGGTCCGTGACACTTCCAGGTGAAGGGAACTTCCCTTTCCAGGAAGCCTCATGCACATGAAAGGAGCTTTGATTTGCCCTAGGGCCACAATCTGTTGCTACCCACATGCTCCATAAATTATTGCTCCAAAAGCATTTACTGTGGTAACAACAGCCTTGTCTTCCCCTTCCTCCTGTTTTCCCCCCTTCCTCCTGTTTTCCCCTTCCCCTCTTTTCCACCCTTCCCCCTCTTTTCCACCCTTCCTCCTCTTTTCCCCCCTTCCACTCTTTTCCCCCCTTCCTCCTCTTTTCCCCCCTTCCTCCTTCTTTCTCCTCTTCCTCCTGTTTTTCCCCTTCTCTTTTTTCCTCTTTCCTCTTCTTCCTCTTCTCCTCTTTCCCCCTTCTCCTCCCCCTCTCCCAGGGGGAAGTTTGTGGCCCTGGAGAACATCAGCTGTAAGATCAAGTCGGGGTGTGAGGGACACCCTCCCTGGCCCGAGGGGATCTGCACCAAGTGCCAGCCCAGTGCCATCACCCTCAACAGACAGGTGAGACAGAGCTCAGGGAGCTGTGAGGGGCCTTGGCTCTCATTCTGGGAATGGTGACTTCCAGAACAGCCACCTTGGAGCACAAAGCTTCCAGGTCTCAGGGAAATCCTGTTCAGGCCTTGCAGAAAAGGGCTCCAAAATGTCCTGGGTCAGTGGTTTCCTCCCAGCCTGGAGAACTGAGCTGGCACCACTGGGAGTTGAATAAGTCCTACTCTTTTCCTTCATGGGATCCAAAAGGCCACTCAGTTTCTTAGAATCACAGAACCATTAAGGTTGGTAAAGACCTCCAAGTCTAAGCTGTGCCCCATCAGCATTTGTCAACCAGACCAGAGCACTGAGTGCCACATCCAGTCATTCCTTGAACACCTCCAGGGATGGTGACTCCACCACCTCCCTGGGCAGCCCCTTCCTGTGTTTAACCACGCATTCCATGATGAAATCCCTCCTGATGTCCAACATTAACATCCCCTGGTGCAGGTTCTTATTTCCTCTTGAATTTCAGTGTCTTTTTACCTGCAAAGTCCCTTGGGGTAAAGGTCCCAGCACAGCCCCCAAGGTGCTGGGGGTGCTCAGCACATACCCACACCCCAGCCCATCGTGGGATGTGTTTGCTGGGCAGGGAGCAGTGCTGAGCGGTGGGAGCTGCAGCAGAGGGGAGAGGGAGGGAACCCTCAGCTCCCCCATGGGTGCTGGAGGGGCAGGATCCAGCCCCAGGGGGGTGGTGTGTCCTGGGAAGGCTCTGGGGGCAGCAGAGGACGGCCTGACGTTTGCACTTTGTCAAACAGAAATACAGACATGTTGACAACATCATGTTTGAGAACCACACAATTGCAGATCGCTTCCTAGACTTCTGGAGGAAGACAGGGAACCAGCACCTGGGCTACCTGTACGGCAGGTACACGGAGCACAAGGACATCCCCCTGGGCATCCGGGCAGAGGTGGCAGCCATCTATGAGCCCCCACAGGTGAGGCACAGCTGCTTCCAGTGCCCACTCTGAACTGGGGAACACTGGGGAACGCACACAAACACTTTTAGTTTGGGAAACCTCACGTGGTATTTCCAACTGCAGCTCCATAAGGAAAACTATCCCGTGGAAACAGGTGATTTATGTCCTTAATGTCACCATCCGTTGGTGCTACTGAAAGGATTTGAAACCCTAGATTTGCTTCTTGTTGTTTTTCCCCCTTTTGTTTTTTTCATTGCTCAGATTATTTCAATCCAGGGTGGATTTCACTTTTAATCTTCCCTTCATTCCCGGATTTCCAACAACTTCCATGCTAGGAAACAAAATTGTGGCCCTTGTTTCAGTTCCTTACCAGCTCTCTGGGAAAAATTAAGCAGCTTAATTAGACAGAATGAAGTGCAAGTGGTTTCAAGACACAATGAGGAGAGGCTGAGACAGAGTCCCCACTAGATGGGGCACAGCACCACTCGGCACGGCCTCGTGTGTTTCCTCCTCGTGAGCTCTGCAGCGCTGCCAGGGGAAAATCCAACAGATTGTCCGTGGAGAAGGAACGAATGGATCCTTGGGAATGTGTGTGTGTGTGAGCAGAGTCGCACGGGGAGGGCTCTGGGGTGACACCAGCCAGTGGTGATGCCAAGGGGGAACGCAGAGCTCTGCTCCCATGCTCTGCCTCACTCCCCCAGTGGCTGTGCTGGTTTTCACTAAGCAGTGTCTCCTCACTGCAGATCGGCACACAGAACAGCCTGGAGATCCTGGAGGACCCGAAGGCCGAGGTCGTGGATGAGATCGCGGCGAAGCTTGGCCTGAGGAAGGTCAGGATGTGTCCTTGTGTGTGTGTGGCAGGGCAGGAGGCAGCAGCAGTTTTCCCCAGCTCCATGGGGTTATCCAAGACCCTTTGGGCATACCTAAGTCGGCCTTAAGTGTTAGCAACTCTTATGCTTTTAGGTATAAAACCCCAACCCGAGGGTTCCCCTTTCTTTCCCCTTTCAGGACAGGAGCCATTCCTGGGAGCACCTCCCTGGTGAGTGCTAATTGGCACAGCTGGAGCTGGAGTTACCTCTATGCTCCATTTCCAGGAGCAGGGACTCCCCTTGGATTTTGCTGCCATCCGTGTGGTGTTGTGGGGAGTCAATCCCTGTGTTGGTTTAGGGGTGCAAGTCCCCTCAGTTCCCCACAACATCCCCTGGTTTTCCTGACATCCCTCAAACCTGCACTGATATTTCCCAGTTTGGGAACTGCTGGTATGGTGGGAATGCCAGGAATGGGATATACGCAAACAAGATTTGACTTGCTAAAGAAAACAGGACCAGGGAAAAGCTCAGTGCAGACTGTAAACAGCTGTGGGGAGGGCTTTGTTCTCCCAGATAACATCTCCCCCTGCCACAGGCTGCAGCAAAACTCCTCTGTGTGTGTGTCTGTGTGTGTTACTTATTTCCATGTTTTGCCTCTGTCTCTCCCATCAGATACTGTGAATCCATGGGACTTAACATGTCCCTGAGTGCAGGGTTGGGCTGTCTGGTCCCACAGGGAGTTGGGATCACTCTGTCTCGGGAGGGTTAATGCTGGGGGGGCTGGGACTGCCACACACGTGTAGGGTTGACCCTGAGGTGTGTCTACACGTGTGTTACGTGTGTGTGGAAGGGTTCAGGCAGTGGTTTGTGTGTGTACACACCTATCACACGTGTGATACCCAGGGATACCCACCCCCAGGCGTGTACACATGTACACACTGATGTACCAACAGCAGGGAAAGCTGGAATGTGGGGTTTGGATTGTGGCAGACTCCAGCTTGGAATGAATCACACTCCAGCAGGAGCTTTCCCTTCCCCAGTGCCTGTGAGGCTCAAACTGGGCCACGTGAGCTGCTGTGTCACTGCTGGTGCTCGGTAGGAAAAGCTTTCTGCTGGGGCTGGGAGGGGGTGGTGGCTCCCAGGCCTCTTGCAGCCTCCAGATCTTTCCATGAAAGCTATTCCACAGTGCAGCAGAAGGCTGCATGTGCCCTGGCCAGCCAGCTGGCATGCTGCTGCTCCTGGGAATGGCATTCCAAGGAGCCCAGCACAGCTGGGAGAACCATTCCCTCCAGGCAGCGTGCACAAGGCTGAGAGCAGCCAAGAACATCGTGTCCTGTGAACAGAAACCTCTTCTGGTTTCCTTTTTGTTTCTGTTTTTGCCCTCTTTTCCCTTAAAGCAACCTTCTCCATCCCCTCTGCAGGTCGGGTGGATATTCACTGACCTGGTCTCGGAGGACACACGGAAAGGGACTGTTCGGTACAGCAGGAACAAGGTGAGAACCAGGTGTGGCCCAGCTGATTCCAGCTGCTGTGCCAAGCAGAGAGCAGAGCCAGGGCAGAGCAGGGCTGCAGGTGGCACTGGAATTCTTGTGAAATGAGGCTTTTTCAGGTGCTTCTGGAGGAAAAGGAGCTCGAACCCTTCACACTGTTAGGGATGGAGCTGTTTGGAGAGCAGCAGAGCTGTCTGCAGCCCCTCACCCTCTCTGCTTTAGGGAAATGGTGCTCAGGAAGTCATGGAATCATGGAATGGTTTGGGTTGGAAGGGACTTTAAAGCAGGGACACCTCCTGTCAGCCCAGGTTGCTCCAAGCTCCATCCAGCCTGGTCTGGAATGGAACACTCCCATGGATTAGGCAGCCACAGCTGCTCTGGACAACCTGTGCCAGTGTCTCACCACCCTCACAGGGAAGATTTCCCTCATATCTAATCTAACCCTGCCCTTTTTAGGGTTAGGAAAACTGTGGAGTGGAAGGAATGAGGGGTGTGAGGTGCAATCCCAGTGAGTCAGAGGCTCTTCCCATGGGCTGGGCCTTGTGACACAGACGTGGCTCAAACTTCGACCTCCTTAGCTTCCTGTCGCTGCAGACTCAGAGATTTCCTTATTTGGAAAGTGAAACTTCATTTTCCTTAGAAAAAAAGGTGTGTGAAGGTGGGTGGAACTCGACGTGGGACAGCCCTGAGGCAGCTCAGGGCTGACAAGTCACATTCTTGCCCTGCTCTCCACAGCAGCTTTCCAGGAAAACATGTTTTCCTGGGGTGTTGGTCGTTTCCCTTGGCTGCAGCCCAGGGGAATAGGTCTGGGCTGTGTCAGCTGGTCCCTTTGCTGACTGGAGTTTGTGCTCTCCCCTCAGGACACCTATTACCTGAGTGCAGAGGAGTGCATCACAGCTGGCAACTTCCAGAACCAGCAGCCCAACATCTGCCGCCTCTCTCCAGATGGGCATTTCGGATCCAAGTTTGTCACAGTTGTGGCCACAGGTACAAACTGGCCTCAGCTCCCTGGCTTACACCTCAATCACCTCTTGGTATACGGCAGAAATCACATGTCCTGGGCCCCATCCGTCAGCTCAAATACTTCTTCATTCTCTGTTTTATCATCTACAATTATTTCCTCATTATTTATTTACCCGTTCTTACTCTACAGTTAAAGAACCTGATCTGAGGCTCAGAGCCACCTCTCTGCTCCAGGGCAGGAACTGTTGCTCAATGTTCTGTTTCAAACTTCTAAGCTCCAACTTCTGTTGCCTGGAAGCAGCAGTGCAGATCCACAACAATCCACATCCTTGAGGTTGGGATTAACTCCTCCTTCAGGAGGCTCAGGAGGGACCTTTGCCTCCCTCATGTCGCTGCCAGGGAAACCTTGACGTGGGGGTTGGAAACGGTTTGGTGGCTGAATAAACCAGAAGAGGCTGTAAAGTGCCTTACGGTTAAAACCTCTGGGTTTAGCCATTTCCAGGGAGTCTCCAGAGGCCCCAGGGGTGGAATGGGCAGTGAGAGGGGACACTGGGAGGGCTGGAGTGTTCCCAGTTGACACATGTCTTCATTTAAGCCTTCCCTGGAGCAGACTCGTTGGGCTCTGGGTCTATTTAACACAATGAACAGACACTCATGACTTCCAGATCACATCCAGTGTGAAAAGTGAAAGTGGGATGGGACACTGCCTGCCCTGGGCCAGGCTCTGTAAAGGTTCCTGGGGGCTTTTTTCAGGGAAAAAGCTCTTTTTCAGCTAACAGGTCCATGCCTGTACATTCCAGACTGCTGGGCGCATCCATCTTTCACTGCAGGTAGATCTGTATCTCTTCTCTTTTTCCCTCTATATATTTATTTCAGAGGGTTTTTTTAATCAAGGTGTTTTACTGAGCAAACACACTTTGTTCAGGCCTTCCCCTGTCCTGGTCTGTGTTTGATTTCTAGGAGTGTTGTGGAGCAGTGAGTGATTGAGGTTACAGATCAAAGGGTAGAAAAGGACTATTTCCTCCTTTCTGTTCCAGCTAATTTCGTTCCCTCCTGTTCCATCAGCCCAGCAGGTTCTGGTTAAACACTTCATTCCTTCCTTTTGTGCCACAGAAATGTATTTGGATAGTTTGCATCAACTTTGCCTTGAAATCCTCTACATGGATTAATTCCCATCCCTTCCTGAATTCCCAGCTTTGCGTGTAGTAACCTTTTCCTACCATCTGCCTCCATCCTCTTTTTCCAGTTGTATTCCAGTGACACATGACCTGATGTTGCTTACATTATCCAAATGAAGTGCCAAGCATGTGATCCCTTTGTGAGCCAGGCTCTTAATTCCCACTTTCCATGTCAGATTTCCACCAAACCATCCAGCACAGGCTGAGCAAACACTGCTCAGGCCTGACATGTCCAAGTGCTCTGCCGTTCCGGGTTCCTTGGGTATGAGACGGGCCCACAGGAGCTCTGTGCCTGGATTTTGTTTCGAAAGGGAGGAGATACCTGCAGAGTAGTGGGAGGGTGATGCTGTCAGAGCCTTCCTAAAAGGAATCTTCCCCTCCTTGGAGCTCCTGGCA